TGAGTGTGATGAGTTTGTGGGGTGCCCCCCCTGCCGAGGGGTGGCATCACCGGAGGGAACAGAGCCCCGGGGTGTCCTGCTTTGGGGCACGCGGGTGCTGCAACCCCCCACCAGCCCCGTCTCACCCTCCTCGCCGTTACCAGGCGCCTCTGCATCCTGAAGGGGATTTACCCCCACGAGCCCAAGCACAAGAAGAAGGTGAACAAAGGCTCCACCGCACCCAGGACCTTCTACCTTCTCAAGGATATCAAATTCCTCCTTCACGAGCCCATTGTCAACAAGTTCCGGGAGTATAAGGTAATTATCCTGCACGACCCCCCCGGGGTGGTGCCCGAGGGGCCACTCGGGGCTCGGCCTCCCCCACAGAGCCCCCGGCCTCCCCCTCTCCCCGCAGGTGTTTGTCCGGAAGCTCCGGAAGGCGTACGGGAAGAGCGAATGGAGCACCGTAGACCGGCTGAAGGACAACAAGCCCAGCTACAAGCTCGACCACATCGTGAAGGAGAGGTGAGCCACCGGCCAGGTCCCAGCAGAGCCGTCCTCTTTTTGGGAGGAGCTTTCCCTGCAGCCGCCTGGACCTGTGGAGCCTTTGCCGTGTCCAACCCTCTTTATGAATCCACCTCCTATATTTATTATGGGGGTTTTGGTGGAAGTTGTTGTTTCCGGGCTGGAGGAGAAGGCCGGAGTAGGCTGCACGCTGGCTGTAGCTAAGCACGGGAGTGCCTGGCTGTCCTAGATGGCTCCAGGATCTCCAAGAAGATGCTGAGAGCGCTTCTCCTCTCTCTGAGCCATGTTTTCCTTGGAGAGAGGGCTGGTGGAGGGTGAACCATGCCAACAGAGTTGGTGAATTTGGTGGCAATGACAGAGGAGAGGACCCAGGAGGGGAGGAACCGGCTCTGGCAGGTCTCTTCGTTGTCCTAGCGGTGCCTGGGACTTCGCTGCGCTGGTGCAGAGAGGGGAGAGAGAAACAGCACCGAGAGACAAGCGCTGCCCCGACAAGCTCTGTGCTGGAGAGGGGAGATGGCGGCTGCACCGCTGCTCGAGCTGCGAGTCTCCCTCCCACCGCAGCGTTTGAGTCCTGCAGCTTTTGTCTGGGCCTCCTCCGTCTGGCCAAGGAGTGCCATGTGCCACACCGCAGGCCACAGCCACACTGCTCCTCGGGGGGGTGGGGTGGAGGCGGTCCAGGCTGGGCTTCCCCAACACTCGGTCCTGAGGGTTCCCTAAAACCTGTTTACACCAGCCTGTAATTGGGGGTGTTGCCATCCCCTCACCCTGGGAGCTTCCTGGCTCCCTGGGGAGCTGCTCGGAGGTCCCTGTGCGACCGTGGGCTCCTGAGTGCTCAGGAAGGACACCCAGTCCCTGTGGGTCACCAGCTTTGGTGGGGACGTGCAGGGTGCTCCATGGTGCCTGGTCCTTTTTCATGCAAGATCTCCTTCAGCCCCAGCAGCTTGTGGTGGACACGGGCTGGTTGTGATTCCCCCTTCTCCTCCTGCCGCGGGCACAGGTACCCAACCTTCATAGACGCGCTGCGGGATCTGGACGATGCCCTCTCCATGTGCTTCCTCTTCTCCACCTTCCCGCGGACGGGCAAGTGCCATGTCCAGACCATCCAGCTCTGCCGGCGCCTGGCCGTGGAGTTCCTCAACTACGTCATCGCCTCCCGCTCCCTGCGCAAGGTGGGTGCTGCTGGGAGGGACGGGGCTGAGACCTTCCCTGCCTCGGGGGGGTTGGGGGGTGTGGAGGCGGGGGACTTGTGCCCCAGGAGGGCACAGGGCCAGCTGTGCCAGCAGCTTCACACGGGGAAACGAGTCCTGCCGGGCCGTCTGTGGCACTCCCATAATGAACCTGACGACGGGAAGGGTTGACAAAGACAGGGGCGAGGGAGCGCCCGTGGCCTTCCTCCCGCTGAGCCCTCGCGCTGTTTCCCACCAGGTCTTCCTCTCCATCAAGGGCATCTACTACCAGGCCGAGGTGCTGGGGCAGCCCGTCACCTGGATCACTCCTTACACCTTTGCCCACGATGTGAGTACCTGGCCCGGCTGGGAAGGTGCGTGGGGACACAACCCCCTGGGGTGGCTCTATCTATGTCCCCTGTGCCTGGCTGTACCAGTCTCCCCAGTTCCTTATTTCCTCTTGTCAATTATTAAAATGGGCTTTAATCAGCAATTAAAGATTAACCTGCAGGAACAAGGCTGGTGGCACTTAGGGAAGAGCCGAGTCAGACCCTGTACCCTCTGCCAGGGTGGTTCTGCCACATCCCCTGTGCATTCCAGGCAGGTGGCAGGGTGAGGATGTCACCTGTGGATGCCACCGTGCCCAGACAGCCGCGCGGCTGTGCTGCGCCTTGCCAAAATCCTCGGCACGCAGGAGTTCACCATCACAGCAGTGCCCTCTCGTTTCACTCCTGGGCTTTCCAGTGCTTGGCGCAGTTGGGTTGAGGCTTTCCAGCTTTGTGGCCTTTGGTACGTCCTGTGCTGGGTCTCGCCTCCCCAGCGAGCCCCCGCAGCATCTCCTCGGCCAACCCATGTCCTTCCCAGCCGGCATTGCTTCTCACCCCCTTCAGTTCTGGCTGCTGTGGGGCTGGTTGGGTCCCTGCCACGTTTTGGCTCCTTGCCCTGCTCTTGTCTGGCTTTGCCACAGCCTGCACATCTCACCTGGAGGAGCAAAGTCCCTGGACCGAGCCACCAAGGTCCCCAATCCATGATGACATGGAGTGCTCCATCTATCTGAGCAAGTCCCTTCACAGAGGGGTGGCAGCGTGGGGAGCTCTCCCTGCCCCAGGGTCTGGCAGTGGCCGTGAATCTCCAGACCTCGCCCTGAAGGGGGCAGGATCCTCCCCTCTGTGTGGGTGGGAGGGGACCATGTCCCTGCAGAGGGGACTCTGGTCCTCTTCTCCTTGTGTCCTCACCCTTCCCGTGTGCCTGCAGCACCCCACAGACGTGGATTACCGTGTGATGGCCACCTTCACTGAGTTTTACACCACCCTCCTGGGCTTCGTCAACTTTCGCCTCTACCACTCCCTCAACCTGCTCTACCCCCCAAAGGTGAGGCCACTGCCTGCCCCGGGGACATGCCACGGTGACCCCAACCTGGTGGCACCAGCCGGTGTGGGTGATGGGAAGTGAGGGCGTCTTGGAATGGGGGATATTTGGGGGCTCTGGGTTTGGGAGCTGCCTCCCCACCTTTCTGTTTCTCTCCAGATCGATGGCCAGGCTGATGCTGAGCTGAAGCCTGCAGAGGGCAAGGACTACGCCATGGATTCCGAGAGCTACCTGGAGGTGAGGGACACTGATGCCGCTGCCATGGCCCATGGGGGACCCTGTGTGGCCTTCATGTCCTGACGGCAGACCCACTGCTGGCGTGGGGCACTCATCGTGCTGAGGCTGAGGAGCAGAGTCTGATCCCTGCGCGGTGGAGGGGACTGGTCCCAAGCTCCTTGGCCCCTCATGCTGGCCAAGGGAGGAGCTGTGCTTGGCCTCGGGGGCTACTGGCCTCCCTCCTACATGGTGGGGGAGAAGCCTCGTGCTGAGGACTGCAGGGTGGGACAGTACATGGAGGAGGCTGAATGTCTGTCTGATCCTGGGAGGACATCTTTTGACCTCTTGCTCTGAGAAATCACCTTCTCCCTCCTCCATGAGGCTGCCCCTTTTCCCATCCCCAAAGCACCGCCTGGGCGTGACGCCTTCTCCGTCTCTTCCCGCTGCAGAAACTGTCCGCTCTGAGCGCCAGCCTGGCCCGTGTGGTGGCACCAACCCACGAGGACGAGGTGGAGATGGATGAGTTCCCAGTGGAGGGGGTAAGAGCCTGGCGGGGGGATGCTCAGCCCTGGCTTTGGGTGATGCTGTCTGTGGTATGTCTTGTGGCCGGGCAAAGGCTGGCAGGGACTGGTGTGGTATTGGGAGGGACTGGTGGGAGGATGAGGATGCCGTCTGAGAGCCCTCCTTGCAGAGAGGGGCTTGGCAGGGGCTGTTCGTGGGGAGGAGGCTGAATGCTTTGCTCTGAGCAGGAGACCGCGGAGCAGATGGATGCGAGGAAGAAGGAGCAGGAGGAACTGGAGAAGCACAAAAAGCTGTTTGAAGGGTTGCGCTTCTTCCTCAACAGGGAGGTGCCTCGAGAGCCACTGGCCTTCATCATCCGGTACGTGGTGGGCAGGCTGTCCCTCGGCTGCCCTGCTGCCCCGTGCTGGCCTCTCCCAGCCTCTTGATCGGGACTGTTGAGGCTGATCTGCTTGATGGCCCGCGGCGGAGGGGACCCCGAGGGCCCTTCCTGCCTGCCTGACTCCTCGGTGGGTTTTGCTGGCAGCTGCTTTGGTGGCCAGCTCTCCTGGGACAAGTCCCTGTGCATTGGTGCCACCTACGACGTGAGCGACCCGTCCATCACCCACCAGATCGTTGACCGGCCCCGAGTGGAGCAGCAGGTTGTTGGCAGGTGGGTGAGGCAGGTGACCTGTCCTCAGAATGGCCACCTGGGCTAGCAGGTGTCCCTGGATGTCCCAGAGCTGTCCCACGCTCTGTCTGCTCCCAGGCAGGCTGTCCGGCACTGTTACGGTTTGAAGAACCCACAACAATTTATTGTTGTTTAGACGATATCACCCGATGACCCCTCCCCACCCGGAAAGGGGAATTGGGGGAAAACCAAGGAAATACGAAGGTTGAAATATAAACAGATTTAATAGAATAAGAGTAAATAATTAACAGTAATGAACTGATATTGATCCCGGTACCGGTATAAAATACACAAGGACTATCCTCAGCCCAGTCTATCCGCAGAAGCCGTGCGCTCCCAGCAGTGACAGCCAATGTGGGACACTGCGAACGTTGTGGCTTCGGGCGGGAGGGGCGGGGGTCGGGCTTGCGGGCCCGGGGG